GCGCTAGAATGGTGTATATATGTAAAACACAGCAGAGTCTTAACATATGAAAATTATTATTTGCAGGTGTCACCATGGGTACCCAGCGATTCAAGTTCTCTGTAGATGGCAAATGTTTTTCTTTTAACTTTATATAGTAACAGTTTTGCACACACTTTGTGTGTTCCATTAATTAAATCATATGCTAGCCTATTTAAAATTTGCTCCTGCCCACATGCCACTAGTACATGGCGGTATGTATGGGTTCTTTGTTCTGACTTTTCACTAGGTGCTTTGCTGGAATATGGGACATTGAGCCTATGAATGCAATTTGGGGACACAAGCACCAAAATTCCAAAATGCACTCAAGGATTTGGCCAGTGAAGTCCTGGAGCGGAATCTTTGACTCTGAATTAGACACATTTCCTACCAAATAATTTAAGATAGTTAATATTTAAGATTAGGTTTTGCAACAGCCAAGCTGCTAAAAGGGAGCATGTCTTAAAATATCTGATAGGAAGGTTTAAAGGGAGGGCTGAATCTTGAGTTTTTATTCTCTGCATCTTAAGCATCTAGCTTCTGACAACAGAGAGGTGTCAGTTTGGATTTCACCATCTGAAACTTCTGCTTTGAGTTTGCACCTAGAATGCCATTTCAAAAAAAGAAAAAAAAAAAAAGAAAAAGGCTAATAATATTTCTCCTCTGAAATACACAGAGGGGAAAAAGAAAACTGCAGGCTTTTATTCAATGGTCTAGCTTTTTGAGGACTTGTTCACGATAAGGATGTTTATTTTCCTCTGGCTGAGGACTATCACATGGGTATTTCACATTTACAAGTGTCCTAATCTTCAGATGCTTCAGCAGGGTGTTTGATGGAATTCTGTAGGAAGGTGAAGTTTGTAGGTTTGAATCCTCATCAGGTTTTCCACATTCTGATTGGTGAAAGGATGGATGCTGCTTACCTTTTTACCAGATTCCTTCCGTTTTCACATTTTTTATTAGTAACAGGTATGGTTGCTGTTTGTGGAGTGTGAGCCTACAGATGTGTGCTAGGCATGTTCTGGGTTTGCGTACAAGTAGGAATTTAGATAAAGTGCTTACACATAGATAGGTAGTTGACAAGCTGCTTAAAACTTGAAATCTTGGAAGAATTAAAAAATTTTAGGGGCTTTGAAATGTGGGGTTGTGACGATTACAACTTTAACTACCAAAATTTTGCTCTGCTTCCCACTTCAGAGGATCTGTTACTGACTTTCCAGAATTTCACCAGAATTCTTTATTGGGACGGGGCCTGGAATCCATATCTTCCTGTAACTGTGTCGATTAGTCTAATGTGTTTGGTTTAAAGTAATTTGCCTCAGTTTTATATGGAAAAGAAAGTTAATTCGTATTTGCACATTAGCTGCATGCATTATAAAACAAATCTGTTTATCTTGCTATACTTTTTCAGTACATGTTCTCATATATAAGTGTTGACTTTGGGGCTTCTTTTTCTTCTTCTCCTTTTTCTTCTAAGGTTTGGTAGTCAACTGGTCAGGTCAAGGATTGCAAAAACTGGGTCCAACCTTACCCTGTGATGCTGATACTCACACTCTGATTCTGGACAAAAACCAGATAATTAAATTGGAACACTTGGAGAAATGCAGGAATCTGATGCAGGTCAGTGTTACTTGACTTGAATTTGCTATGAAATAAGGGTACTGTGATGCTAATTAAAATACTGCTTTAAGGCTGTATTATGCAGTTGAAGTAAGTTAGCAGTTACTGTTTTCATAGGAAAATAATAGCTAACTAAAATAGAAAGCTTTGTTTTCATTGTAGCTCTGTAGTTCATAGCGGGGGAAGTTGTTTTGCTAGTTACCTAGGTAACTAAAAATGAACTAAATAAATCCTAATGCGGGGTGTGTCATAAGAACATCTAGAAAAATCATTATAACCCAAATTTTGATACTTCTTAGCTTTTGCATATTTGAGCTTTGTAACCTTAGAAACAACTTTGTTTTATCTTTCCTCTGTGTAATTGTAAACATGCAGACATACCTACAGGACTTTCCTCTCCATTTGGGTTTCAGAACTTTTCACAAAGGAAGAGGATTAGTTGCCTTAATTTACAAGAAGAAAAAAAAGCCATGTGGATTGGGTTAAAACAGAAATAGCAAATGAAAAAATGTGAAGTGGGAGGGATCTACGTAGTCTCGTTAACATATCCATTCATGTAGGCCCTGATGTTGGTAGTGCTTATCCTTAATTTTACTACTAGCTGCAGCCCATTTAAGTTCATGAGGGTATTAGTGGTAACAATGTTATCACTAACATTAGCCTGTGCTTGGTGCTTGCAAAAATCAGAGTTTTAATCCCTCCAGGCCAAAGCTGTACAAGACCATATTAATTGTCACTAAAAGTGCTTCCAGATAGACTTGAAGTCACCTAATACCTTCTAGAGACAAGCTATTTCTCCAAAAGACAGCAGAGGTGGGGTTTGTTGCTACAACAAACCTTCACCGTCTGCCAGCTTGGTGGTCATGTTATTAATTCGTATGTCTAATCAGGACTTATCTTGTAAAAAGTTCGTGATTTACAGTCCTGTTAGCACAGGACTTTTTTGAGAATCATGTGAAATATATTTTGTCCTCTGCCATGTTGACAGTAAGTATGATTTTACACCAGGAACAGTGCAACAATTTGTACAATGATTTGGCAATTCTGATTTTAAAATCTTATTTTCATATGACACAACTCCTCATTCATTCTCCTTTATTTAGCTATTGGTAGGATGAAAATTTCCTCTTAAGTTTGCAGAGTGAGTTGTGAAGACTGCTTTCTTTCATCACTAATTTATTTCCTGGCTCTTGCAGTTTTTTGTGTCTGTGTTATTTGCTTTAAAATTGAGTACATAGATTGAAGGAGTTCCTGTTAGATTAGATTTTTAACCACTAAAAATAAAAGCCTATTCTGTCTGTGCAGTTTAATAGTTAAAAACTGTTTCTTTTATTTGTATGTCAATCTGCAGCTCTCTGTAGCCAACAATCGTTTGGTGCGAATGATGGGTGTAGCAAAACTGACTAAGCTCCGGGTGTTAAACTTGCCTCATAATAGTATTGGGTATGTCGAAGGGCTGAAGGATTTGGTGCACCTGGAATGGCTGAACTTGGCAGGAAATAACCTCAAGGTAAAGTATTGAGTCTTTATAAGTTTTCCAGAATCTCGTGGTATAGAAATTTGGAGAATGCTGCAAAGAAATCTGAGTATGTTTCTGGTTTTGATTGGAAAAAATGTTGAAGTTTTGTGTCTACTGGTTGAGAAGAGGGCAAATAAAAGGTTTGATATCAAAATGTAATGATAATTGGGAAATAGTCCCCCAAATAGGAAAGTAACTATCATCTTTGAAATGAAACTGTGTAAAAACATGGTTTTAATTTTGGGTTATTTATCCGGTGCTTTTTAGCTTTCAACATGGTTTCTAATTATTGATACCTGGTTTTATTTAATGACTAAAAAACAGCTACTGTGAGTAATTGACTTCTTTATTTTTGCAGGCCATTGAACAAATCAATTCGTGTCTATCTCTTCAGCATCTTGATTTATCAGACAATAATATAGCTCAATTAGGTGATCTCTCCAAGCTTACATCGCTGAAGGTAGGTGCTATTTTATCTCTTGGTATTGTTACATTCTTTGCATAAAGAAATTTGCTTTGAAAATTGCTGCCTTTCGAAGCATTCATTATTAAAATGCTAGCTCTTAAAGCATTTTAATTAATCACTATAATTTCTAGAGGGAAGCATGTAAGAATTCTTTTCCTTGTTTTCAACTTGAAGGAACTGAGGTAGTGATTTTTCTAGAACTGCTCTAATGATTTTGATAAAGATAACATGGTGCGATCTTGTTCATAGGTCTCAGTTCTCTTGTCTCATGTTACGGATCATGACAAAGCGTAGTGTTAACTCTTTCAGCATGAACACTGTAGAGCAAAAATGTTTCCAAATACATTTTTTTTAACTGTGACTATACTTCAGTTCTGCATTTTAAAATGAGAAGATTTTGCTCTAAAATATAAAGCTTAGTTTTCCCTTGGGGGAATAAACAAAAATAATTTTGATGATACTAAAAGCCTTAATTATAGTTCTTTTGCGTGTATTGTGCAGGTATTGCCTGAACAAAAAACATGGGAGTTTTGATCAAACATACATTTCATCACCATATTTTTATTTTATAGACTCTGTTGCTACATGGAAATATTATAACTTCACTTCGCACTGCCCCTGTTTGCCTACCTCAGAATCTGACTGTTTTTTCTTTGGCAGAAAATGAAATCAGAGACTTAAATGAGGTAAGATGTAGGAGATATATCACCTTGTCTTTAGGAAGACTGAAAGCAAATAGTTGGATAATTCTTTTCAGGATATAACGGAAAATGGGCTGTCTTCTTTGAAACGACCCATGTTGACAGAAGTAACTTTTAATATGTTATAGTTATGTAATAACTATACATGTTTATAGTTATGTAATAACTGTACTTGCATTAGCTGCACAAGCTAGGTGATACCTTTTAAAATTTGTCCTTGAAAGAAACTTTGACTCTTGTTTTGTTGCAACTGAACATTTTTGGGCCCGTGTCTTATTTTATCTATTTCTCAAACACCATATAAGAGAAACAATTATTTTGCCTGTGATTTTTGTCTTTATGGTTTTGTTTGCGTTTTATGAAATATAAGTAGCAGTCAAAACTGTTAGTTGGACTTCCATGTTGGAACACAAATCTTATTTTGGTAATACATTTCTCTTCAAAACAGGACAGTGTTTCTCCAGCTTTTTGGCTTGCCATTTTTTGGTCAAAATCTCAACACCTGTTGTAGTGAACTGGAATCATAGAAATACTGTACCTTTCTATACATAAAGCCCCATTCACAGATTTTAAAAGAAGCTAATACTTTCCACGGTCTATAGTACCTACAGGGCAATTAATGAGAAAATGGCACTAGTTGATAGAAGGCCCTTTGAAGATGTTCAGATTCAAAAAGCAAATGTGATTTTCAGTGTATTTGTAATTTTGTTGTTTTGCGTGAGATGTCTAGCTGTAACTAGCAAAAATGTAGTATGTACTGTAAGCATTTAATAGGTTCTGTTCAGTTAACAAATATATCTTGTTTTCCCAAGGTTTCTTTCCTGGCCTCTCTTCGTCAACTGGAACAGTTGTCAATTATGAACAATCCCTGTGTGATGGCCACACCTTCTATCCCTGGGTTTGACTACAGGCCATATATTGTCAGCTGGTGCCTGAACCTTAAGGTTCTTGATGGATACGTGATTTCTCAGAAGGAAAGGTGACATAATACTATTAAATCTCTATAGTTATTAAATCAAGTTTGGCTAAGCTGAAATTGCATTTTTATATAATAAAAAAGGGGGGAAAGTGCTAACGATCTGCAGTTCTGCTTGTCTTGTTTATGGCCATATGACATACAAGCCAATTAACATTGTTGGTTTTGCTAAATTTTTCATCTGTCACACTGAAATTATTATGTTGGATCACAAGTTTGTTTACGTAGAAGTGTAAAGTTGAGCTTTTGTTTTGTTACTCAACTCACAGTAGCACTTCTACATAGCAAAACTGTGGTAGCAATTTATCAATGGTGTGTTACCCCCTTCCAAGCTTACAGCCTCTTTGACTTTGCAGAAGGAGACAGGCAGCAGATATTAAAGCTAGTATCTTGGAGGAAGCTCAAACATGCCCTTTTATAAAGGGCCTGATCTGCATGTTCATTTCTAGGTTTGGCATTTTTTGTATCAATTAGTCAAATATTATGTTATTCAGATCACTTGTCAACGAATCATTGTAGTCACTATATCGCTATGATGTCTGTATGACAGTAGAGATGTCTTCTTAAAGTTCTTGAGATCAAAACAGTGCAAGCGTAAACATTACCCAGTATAAACACATTGTAGTCCAATACATTAACATATTCCAGCACATTAATGTGTTTTTTTCCCCATTACTAAAATAAAAAGTGGCCTTTTTGATCAAAGGTAAACCAATTTCTGTTTCACCATAACATATTACAACTTTCCGAAAAAGTTGCCCATAAGGATTCTAGAAATATTTTTTTATGACTAATGGGGTTTTCTGTGTTAACTGTGTTATTATATATGGATATATCATATTACATGTTCTCAGACTGAAGAGCATTAATTTGCAAACAGGCTTCAATTGTTGAATGCTTTCATCAAGATTTGCTCCCTGTGGCTATTCTGCACGTTTGTGTGAACTTTTCTGTTTCTGTGAAAGCTTTGGTGATAAATTCATCAACACAAATGTGTTATCAGTGCTTAAAGACTACACACAGCAAAGCAGAGACTGCACATCTTGGTCAGAGGGTTTTTCTTCTTTCATTGATGGTTATGTGAGGGAATACTTTATTCACTATTCTGGTAATGAAATTCCCAGTGCTGGGCACTGCGCATAGTCTACATTTTGATTAGATTTGTAGACTAGCTCTTAGGCACCCACTAGAAAAACAGTAAACAAAGGAGTGTTAGGAGTTTTATACCATGCATTAATGGTGACCATTTCCCCCCTTCCTAACAGTTTGAAAGCAGAATGGCTCTACAGTCAAGGTAAAGGAAGATCATATCGACCTGGGCAGCATGTTCAGCTGGTCCAGTACTTGGCTACTGTTTGTCCTCTTATATCTACATACGGTCTCCAGACTGAAGAGGATGCCAAACTGGAAAAAATACTGAGTAAGCAAAGGTAAGAACTACTTGTTTCTGTATTAGAGAATGTAATTGAGAACATTATTTTTTCTCTTATTATGTGTTGGACAGAAGATTTGCTTTTAAGTATTTCAAAGCAACAGCAAGGGCTGGAGATGGGAAGAGTAATGGAGGTTCAGGATGTGTCCTAGAGGGGAATGAGAGGCAAGACAGCAGTGGCAGGAGTGTCTTTCTGCTTGCTGGGCCATCTTAGGGGCACATTCTCTGCATTTTTAAATCTGTGCTCTGTAGGATGTTGAAGGTCATTTGTGTTAGGACTGTGATTAAAATAAACAAACTACCTACTGAGATTTTTTTTGCCACAGAGAAAGTGAGGAGAACATCACAAAGGTGCTTAGATTAACTTTTGTTCTCATTGTAAATTAAGACTATTGCGGAACGCTGGTGTATTAGCCACTCTTTTGGTTTTAGTGTGTTCTTCCTTGTTTTAAAGTTAAGGTTGTTCTCTGAGAGACACTGTTCCCGCTTGATGATTTCTGTATCTGAAACCTCAGGTCTGTCAGCAGAGGCCTCTGTACAGCCTGCTGATTCTGCCAGTTGTAGCTGTTTTGCTAAGATCTATGTAAGTAGATAAGGAGAGTTACCGTGGTACACTTTTTTCCCATGAAGAGGTGAGCTAATTGCGATTAAAAGCCAGAAAATGTAACAATACAGGTATCCCTATTCCCCAGGACCTATTGACAACCTTTTTTTGCAGAAGGATCAGAGCAGAAGACTCAGCGCAAAGGAGCAGGCTACATAAATGGCATAGTGTGGGCAGAAAGTTGGGCAACAGAAGCCTTGTAGTAAGCAGAAGGGTGGCGTCTCATCAAAAGGGACAGAAACCTGGGAGTACCTGGAAGGACCTACTGCATACTTTGTTAGTGTAGATTGATCTCCAGGAGGAAATTACAGAAATGTTGGGGCCATTTCAAAGGAGAAGGTACAATAAAAGCATATTGACATTGGAATTTCCAGCTAAGTGCTCTGACATTCACATGATGTTTCTGGGGAAAATTCAAGAAGTTGGCTTGCGAAATATAATTGTTTAAAAACTAAAACAAAATAACCCCACCACCACAACAACAACAAAAAAAAAAAAACAACAAAAAAACCCAAACCAAAAGCCAACAAAGAAAACAAACCCTCACCTAAAAAAACAGCCCCCCAAAATCCCCACCCATATATATATATGTGTGTGTATACACACACACTTACACACGTATATGATTTTTAAAGCAGTTTGACTTGCTGACCTGTACCTCATGATCTTTGAATTTAGCTGGGCTGAAACAACCCGTGTATTTTCTCAGTTTGTAAAGGATGACTTTACATTGGTGGCAATTTTGTTGATATGTATTAGGTTTTTGTGCTTTTAGTGACAGGGGTACCCTTTCCTTGATTCAGTTGTTTTTGAATGTAGAAGACACTCCCTTCATTCCTCAGACTCCTCTACGCATACAAACATAGTGTATCCTGCAGTGGACACTTAAAATACCTGCATACCTTCCTCGTGCATAGAAATACTTCATGGTTTTCAATCTGTAGACAGAATTGCATGTTGGTTGTTTTTTGTTTTGCCTTTTTTTTGGGTACATGTAATGAAGAAAAAGGGGCTGGAGGAAGGGGAGCAGGAACAGTCTGTGCAATCCCCTACTTTGTGAGTAGTCCTGTTAGTGTCTTGTAGGCGTAGGAATCTGCATAAATAGCTTCTTGTTTGATCCCTTGTTTCTTTTAAACTAGTTGATAATTTCTTTTGAATGTCTTTCGTACCAAAAAAGTTTAAAAGAAATATAAAATCAGTTGTAACTCTGTGCTTAGGCTTCACCAGAGGCAGTTGATGCATCAGAACCAAAACGAAGGACCACCTACGTCTTCCACTCCCAACAAAACACTGCCGGTTACTTATGAACACAGCAGTCCAGCCCAGCCACCACAGATAGTTCTTGAAAGTGGTAAGAAGCTAATCTGCACCTGTGATCTAACACATGGAAATAAATATTTCTTTTTAACATGGATAACTTTGTGGAGAGTGTTTCAGAACAAGGCCCTGCTGTTAATTTATTCTATTGATTTCAATTGAAGTTATACTTCATTTTCTAAAAATACATTCCATGCTTATTTGTGTCTTGAAATGCTAGTAAGATTGTTAAGTGAAAACCACAATCCAATAAACTGAAGAGGTATTACTTTGTTCCATCTGATAAAAGTTTAACTTCTGCAGGGAGAGGCAGCTTGTGCAATTTACTGTACCCAGTATTTGCAAAGTTTGTGGATGTTACTGTGATGAGTAGTTATTGTCCTTATTATATAGAAATGCTTATCATTACTAGCATTTTAGATCTTCTTACACACCCAGGTTCTAACTATCTAAAATAAATTGTGAATACCTGTGAAATAAAAGAAGATTATGTTCTTGAAATACTGTGACGCTTTTGAATATGGCTTTCTGCCTATCTAGAACCTATCATCCAGAAGAATTCTTGGGTTGGACCAAGCGCAAATGATGATCATTCCTATGCAGTAAAGAACACTTTTCATCTTGAAAGAATTCTTTGCAAGGAGCTATACCTTGAAGATATACAGACAGACGAAGACAAATTAAACAGCAGCCTTTTATCCTCAGAGTCTACTTTCATGCCAGTTGCTTCAGGATTGTCTCCAGTGTCTCCTACTTCAGACCTGAACCTACGTGGAATCAATTTGGGCCTAGAAGATGATGATGATACAGTGATTGAATGTGTGAGAGATATTAATAGTGGAGAAACAGCTAACAAGCAAGAAGCTTCATGTGTTACAAGAGAGCACTCCGACAGAACAGTGGGAAGTGCAGAAACTCAAGAGAATATCAAAGAGAGTATGCCATTGCCTTCTCCAGCTCCAGTAAAAGTTAGCCTGACTGCTAATACTACCAACTGTTCAGCATCCTCTGAAGACCAAGTTCTGCACAGTCACCCCAGCACCTCAGTAGGTGCTGCATCAGGAGTTAAAAATCTCTGTCCTGATCAGATAACAGGAGAAAGTTCTGATTCATTAGCTGTTGTTGATCAAGGCACAGCTGAACTACAAAGAATGACTAAAGCAGCTACCAAGCTTCAAGCCTGCTGGAGAGGATTTTACACGAGGAACCACCATCCCCGAGCCAAGGAAGTGCGGTATGAAATTCGACTGAAAAGAATGCAGGAGCACATCATTTGCTTAACTGATGAAATACAAAAGTAAGTTCAGGTCATGCTGTGTATTTGTCTGAATGAATATAACCATCATTCCAGGATATTTCAGAACAGATACATATCTTGAGATGTATATATAGCACCAGTAGTATAAAACTGTGATTACAGTAGAAGATTGCTTCCTGTAAGATAAGCACAGTTATGCATATAGCTATTCATGCTCTCAAAGTGTCTTCTATTATAGAATCATAGAATGGTTTAGGTCGGAAGGGACCTTGAAGATCATCTAGTTCCAACCCCCCTGCCTTGGGCAGGGACACCTCACAGTAGACCAGGTTGCCTTCTATGAGCGGGTTGGGTTAGAATAAATTTTTCCATTCCTCTATTAGCAAGACTTGCATGTTTCACTGCATAACCAAAATAGAAATTGCTAAGTGGAACTTTTCTTGCTTGTCTCCTAGCAATTACAGAGTGTGTAAATGAAGTGTCCATATTGAGAGTCATTCCTCTGTTACTGATGGAAAAGAAGGATTCTCTTTCTGCCTTACATGATGTAATTTTAAAATGCAATTCTGTGCTTGGTTCTGGTTTTTTGATCCTGTAAATCCATGTTCGGAGGAGATCATTATCAAAGTTCCTCTATATGTAAGATATAAATTGCACATTTAGTTAATACCTTTCAGGATCAGCCTGAGAACTGGTGGTCTGACAGGCTCTTCTCCTTTGACTATCACAAGCGACAAAAGTTCTGTGAATCAAATCGAGCCCTCAGTGAACCTCTAGAAACTCCCAATGCTTACACATCATACCTCCGTCCAAGTGGTAACAGTTGGGGAGAGCATAATTTGAAACGAAGAAGCACTATTTTGGGTTGATATTTTTTTTTTTTTTTTCCTTCTTGTGTGGGATAAAGAAGCACATCTACTTAAAATGAAGAGCTCAGGTTCAGTTTACAAAAAGACACTTAAAGTATTAGCAAGTCAATAAATGTGTTGCAGCAAAAGGAAGCAGAATCTTAATGTGACTCTGAAAAAGAAACTTGAAGTCAGCAGGATATTGATGGCAAGCCAGACTGCAGTAATGTCTTAATGGTAGGCTCTGTTGTATCTTTCAAGAGTGCCATTATATAAGTAGGCATTTTTTATGTATTCTTGTTGATCTTGTTACACAAATGTTGCTTATTTAAGCTGCATAAATTTGGATATGTGTTCTTGCAGACTAAGAAAAGAAAGAGAGGAAGATAAGATTCAGAGGCTTGTACAGGAGGAAGCTGTCAGATTTCTTTGGAACCAGGTAAGTAGTTTTAGTCCTCTTAGTTTTCTGCTTACGTGTGAATTTGAAAAGCATTATTTCATGCTGTAAATCCTGAAGAGATAGTCAATATCGTTCATTTTTTCCAATTCTGGGGGGAAATAACATTCAGAAGTATTAGCACGATAACACTGGTTTTATTACAAAAGGCTAAATTATAGCCTGGTGTGAGAAGGAGGACGAAACACAAGGGAAGCTAAATACATGTAGCAGCAGCGTGAAGCATGATGTGACTGCTAGATGCCCAGAGCAAATGAAATGGTGTCAAGCTGCATTCCTTGTGGGCAACTGATGTCTAAAGTATTTATATATCTACATGTATTAATACATCTTCTAATAAGCTATTCTTCAAAAAATAAGACTGAGTGTTTTCTTGAGCATGGGTTGTTTCATAAAGGTTCCCTATGGTGTGAGCCGACACAGGTAGGATGCAGGAACAACCACAAAACCACAGATGAAAGGCAAAGATCAAATTTAATCTCAATACCTCACAGATCGGGGAATCTCTGAATCAATACCTGGACTTGCTGTTCTCACCTGCATTTCAAGGGTGCAAGCAGGCATAGTTTTCCACTGTGCTTTGATCTCCTTCAACAGGGCAGGAATCTCAAGTATGTTAGATAAGGTGTCCCTGAATCCATCACAGACTTACGGTTCTACTTGTTCTACTTGTGAGCACATGAGGCTGAACAATGATTAGTGTGATATATGTGTTGTCTGGCACCCCAGGTGCAAGTCACTTGAGCACGTTTTCAGTCCTCCTCGCCAATCTTCTATTATTTTCCCACACCCATCCTTTCTGTTTTTAAGAGCAGATTCCTTTTTCTTTAGGTATTTGAACTGGGAGGCTTGTGTGCTCTATCAGTGTTGGGCATCTAGGTTTAAAAGCCATTATTTAACAGTGGGAAGAACATATTTTCCCTAAAAATATACCAAACCTTTTGTTAGTTCACTCAGTCTTAAATTTTATACTAGAGCTTTGTTGGTGATTGCAAGAAATACTCTACGAATCAAAGTACTTTTATCAATTACATTCCATAATGAAATTCTCTCTATAATTTACAGGTTAAATCCCTTCAACAATGGCAGCTTTCAGTGACACAAAATTTAGGTGCCACTTGGCAACCTGGGATCCCTTCAGCCAGTACTTTCTGTCCATCTGAACCATCTATTCGATCATCCACACTTGAGCAGGAAACCCCACCAGACATTAGTTCTGCTTGGTTAGTTCCAGCTAGTGATGTTCTTCAGGAAAAGTCTTTGTTGCAGTTCCCAGATTCTGGTTTTCATTCTTCCATGGCTGATCAAACTCATGCCGGTGACTTATGTAGCTCTGAAAAAAGTTTAACAGAAGGAACTGAGAGCTCTCTTTCGGTGGAAACTGTCAAACGATGTGGCAATTCTCTTTCAACATGCTCTTCAGATGTAGAGGATAGCCTTGGGGAACATGAGCAAAGTAAAGAGAGCTCTAGTAATGAGCAGGACAACAGACTAATACAAGAGTATTTGAAATCTGTTCAGCAGCTTGAAGAGGCTGATGAAGGGACAAACTGCAACGGTGAGACAGAGGGTAGCTGGCCACAAATCACCGTCTCAGCAGAAGGCCAAGATTCTTCGTCTGACACTGTCCCTGTAGATCTCCCTCAAGATACATCTTCCCCTGCCCGAGGTGAAATCAGTCAGACACCAGAAAGCTGCAAACTGAATTCAGGAATAGCAGAAGGGAAGCAAACAGACTGTGATTCATCATTTCAGATGCTGCATGTTGGGATAACTGTATAGTAGGCTCAGTTCCACAAAGCACTAGGAATTCCATTTCATTTTCCTTTCTTTTTCCTGTTTCTACAAAACTTATTTTTCATGTGTGCTGTTTCAGATTTTGACTCATGTTACCAATTTATGTTTTAATTAGTATTTTATTGATGTTACTGAGGACTGACACTAACTGTGCTGACCTGAAATCAGCAAAGTTCTCAGTGATAGTCATTATGCACTTTATTTTCAAACATAAAACTGATATCCTAACAACTGGCTTCCATCAAATTAATTCTGAATATTAGGGTTGTTGAGGGAAGTGTTTGCTGTGAATTCACTTTGGTGAATGTGTTGGTAAGTCTTTGAATTTTTTTCGAAAAAGCAGGATTGAGTTCTTACTTTGCAAAGAGAAAGAAAAAATATGGGAAGAAATGGAGTCAACATAGGCAGCATGTGTGCGTATGGATACGGCCTGATGAGAAAGATGAAAGCAGTTGCCTTTCAGACTTTTTTTTTTACTTTAACAAGAGTAATTTGGTCATTGTGTCAAAGATGCATTTGTCTGAGTCAGTAACTTCTTTTTGTCATTTACTTGAAGCTGCTGGCTAGGAATTCAGTCATTTACATATGCACTGAAACAAGGACTTACAGGAGTCAGACCTTAGGGAGCTTCAAACTAACTTCGACCTTTGTTTGCCCTGGGTTTGAATTTCCCTGCTTTCTCAGGTAAGACTCAAAGTGGTACCAGTAGCAGCCTTTACTAAATAAGAATTTCAAAAGGGCATGTGATTTGGGCACATAGTTTCCAAGACTGCACTGCTGGGTTACAGCAGCAGACTTGGTGACGTATCTTTTGCCTCCACAAGGATGCTAATGCCATTTTGGGATTTGGATCTGCACGGCTTTCAAGACATTAGTGTGGTTGATGGATCACAACTACTATCTACAGGTATAAATATTAAATGTCATGACTTAGAGCTATTTCTTGACATCTCTGGGGTTTTTTTGTTTGGGTTTTCCTTCTTTTTTTCCTCTGTCCAGTATTTGACATTCTAATTAGATGTGGATAAAAAGCTGTTTCCCTGTTGGCAAATGTGCTAAGTTACCTAGGCTATGCTTTCCACTTAAACACTGGGCAAGCAATAGGGTTTGCATTTTGCCTAGCCCTTGCTATGTTGTTTTTTTAATGGAAAAAGATCAGGTGTCTTAGTACACCGCAGAAGTGGGAAGGGAAATCTGGTTTGCCATGGGATTTGTCATGGGCGCTAGCAGAATAAAACTTGACATTGTGACTTCTAGGGGTCAGTTAATTTTGCTAATACTGCATTTTGCAACGTGCACTGGAAAGCCAGAGTTCCCATAGTTGCTAATATTAAGTTTTTGGAGAGGAAGACACTTGCATATATTATAATTCTCTGAATCCACAGGTTAACTTCTGGTGCTATGGTGTCATTAAAATCAAATAGTGCCATTTTAAAGTGACTCTTATGACCATGTTACCGTGTAAAATAACTTAATTTTTGTAAAAGCTTTGGTTGCTTGTATACTTTAGGTTCTGAGCTGAAATTCACCACTACTCAGGAGTTTGGCATGAGGCCGGTATCCACTTGAGGCCTCAAAATATCCTTTATTTAGAACATAAATGGTGTATTGGACTTGTACCAGCCATCTGTCCACTGGTGAAGTTCACCTTGGAAGAATTAAGCTTACCTCTGCGTATAGAGTAGCTATCATCTCTTTTTCCCCACCTCCAAAAAAAAAAGTTCTAGGGCACTAACTTCTCAAAAGAGCTGTCATTGCAGTCAAGCTGACATTTGGCTGTGCCTTGCATACATGAAAGCACTTAAAAAAAAAAAACAACAACCAAAACCAAAATACACCAACTGAGGTGTAGAATCTTAATGTGCTATCTTTCTAACTCAGTCTAGTTACAGCACATTTGTAGCATAACCATATTCATAATTAGAGCATGAGTGTTCTTGGGTATTGAAAGTGGTACAGGTGCATTAATGTATCACAACATCTAATTAACTGTGCAAAGAAGTGTGTAGGCTACATGATGGTCCTCTGAAGGTTCTCAACTTGCATTTAAATCTGCCGTGCTTGGAGATCTCTGCAGTTCATAGGATTTGGCTCTTTGTCAATCTGTTATTAAAAAAAACTTATGTAAACCTTTAAAGAGACTTTCTTTGGGTTTTGAGAAAGAAATTATTTGTCTGTGAAACAGTTGTTGGACCTTACACTGTGGAGGCAGTGGTTAGGTGTAATAATATAGTGAGTTCTATTTCATGGCAGAGTGCTGCATTAGCATACGCAAGACCTGGGAGAAACTAGACCTCTGTCTGGATAAAAACGTTTTGCTTACTGAAGACACCAAGCGACCATATGTATTTTGCTATTTTCTGTTATTGTCAGTTTTGCTGCAGAGTTAGAAAGAGGAAAAACAACTTTAATTTTGGAGGTGTCAAAGGGGGGAAACTTGGTGAAACAATTTTTTGTGGAAGTCCTAGATGTCTCTGGACATTTCCTCTGTTATTAGGGCTTGCAAACACAAACACAAGAAGACTTTTATTTTAACTAATGCCTAGGTCAACTCTTGGCTTTTTTAACTTGTAAACGGTATATCCAAAATCGATTTTATGAAGGTACAGCAAAGTGCTTACCAACATATAATCAGCTTTATCTTATCATTTTGGGAAAGCTGTGAAATATGAAAGATTTTTTTTTTCTGATGTTCTGAAAAGTATCTTGCATGTGTAGAATGTGAGTTGCCTAAATATACAGGAATCACAAAGAATGATAAAGTTTTTGATTAGTTTTTACAGGGTTAGATGTAATTAATTTGTATATACACAAAATATTCTCATCCTGATCATTAAAATGCATAAAGGGAAAAACATAATGGGGGCTAGAGTGGAAACTGGATGTATACTTAAAAAAGGCTTCGTTCAGTCTGTTTTGAGCTCTCAAAGAATCATGATAGTTCCATATCATAGTTTAATATATGGCTTAACATTTACTCTCAACTGTCTGTACAAGTTTCCTTAATCTAGGTATGTAATATTCTTTTACCTGGATAGGGATGCACAGCTCCTTTTGGAGATCATGTAAATTTCATAAAGGAATCGGAGGGCCCAATATATGAAAATCCATGTCTGAAATTTTCGTGTGTTAATATTGTATGTCTTTCAGCATTTTCCTTTTGCAAGACGTCATATTGAACAGAAGATCGTACTTTGTAGAAGGAAAGCTTGTCTGTTATACTTTGTCCTGGGCTGATCCTCCAGTGCTGATGGAAGAGATTACTAATAGTTATTTGGCAGGCAGTGTTGTCAGCTCTGCCGTGAGTACAGTTTAAGCGGTCCTTTAATTTGCTTCAGAAAAATGAGCTAAATATAGTTCAGACTATCAATTCAAACTGTGCCACACAAGTAGTTTTGCCCCAGCTGAGGTGGTTGGCACACACAAACCTCTTTCAGCTAGACTGTGGCAGAAATTAATATTTTGCCTGCTTTTCTGAAGGTAGGGACAAGGAGGAAGGTGGAAATGCATTTGTCTGTGTGTTCAGGTTTAGTCTGTGATGGTAACACCAACGCTTTTATGATTGCTGTTTCATTTTTCTCCCAATTATTTTTATAGTTTACAAATTTCAATCTTTCATGTAATCAAGAACGCATCTTTTCTACTGTATATAATATTTGATAGACGCTATTCCGGATGGTATTTGGAAAGGGAGAAGAATATCATGAAAGCAGGCCTGTTCACATCTTATATTTCAGGTTTCTTTAAAGTATTTGGATTGTATTGATTCCTCTCTCTTAGATAACTTCTTTACAAAAGAAAAACACAAGGCAATGCCTCATTAATGACAGTAAGTAAATTTCTGTTTCTGCCTTCTTCCATGAACTGAACTTAATGGTAACAACTCTGTTTTCAGTACCTAAAACTGTCATTTAAATGAATGGGAGATTTAGCTGCTGAACGAATGCGCAACTGTAATGTGTCTTTTTTTTTTTGTGGTAACTATTCCTGTGTGGTGCTATTTTGTAAACAAAGTATGTGTGGCAAGGATGGAATTTTTAGAAGGTACTGAACGTTGGCCTAACTCTGCTTTCATTTCCTGAAAAGAAGCAGGGTCGTGCTTAAGTTGAGTCCTTGTGAACTGGCTGTCTAAATTGGGATTTTTGTCATATTTACATCTCCAGAAGTGTTCTTATACCACAAAGCAAGAAGGCATTAACACTGCGAATTTTATTTTGTTGCTTCCAGAACATAAATATCTTTCAGCAAATACTTGAGAAAGTCCTTGTTAAACTAAATTGCAGAAGCCGAACAGTTTATGTATAGTTAAGTTCCTTAAACAACTGTAGAGTCTACTATTGCATGCAGCAATTTAAATAATGCACTTAGCAGCCAGCCTGTCTGTATATAAAAAACAGTTTGTTTTTTTCCTGAATAATGTTTGTATGTTATTGAGCTTGCAAATTGTTCCTGGTTTTTATGAATTTGTATATATTGTCTGAAGAACTCCAATCTTAATTTCTATTTGTAGCAATTGTTTGAACAGAAATGAAAGATACATTCCTTTGAGACTACCTGGGTACTTTTTACTGGACTTGAAGTTACAGTGTGTCTCGCACAGACACACTTTTTCCTGAGAGAATAGAATTGTAGCATTTAGTGGAGACTGACTGAACAACAGTGAAATGTAAAAACTGGTCAGTTCCCCAGCTCTTAGCTAGTGGAAAAGAGACTTTTTTTTTCCTGATGTATTAACTTTTTTTTTTTTCCCTCTTGAGGAATGTGCCACCCAAATAAGTAAGCATCAAACATTCATGAAGTCTTTCAAAAAGTCTTTTTTCATAGTTACAAGTTTTTTCCCCAGTTTGCGTTTCCAGAAGTTACTGAAAAACACTTGCTTTCTAAAAGCCTTACAAAAAGTTGGGACTTTCTGTCTATTTTAGATGCTTTCTTTATGTCATTAATGCAAAAAGCACAGGATTCTTTACTTGCAAAAGCATGAAACA